CCATCAGTTGCGCTTCTCGTACTTTGCACGAAGCGTTCGAAGCTTGCTATTGATCTGATGCGTGTGGAGTGCGATCGACCATGCAAGAAGCAGACGGAGCACAATGAAGAGTCAGTCGTCCGTGTCAGCACGAGCATAATGACATGCGCTTCTACGCGTACGTGTACGCGTCCGACTGACTCACGGATGGATTGGTCCTGGTCTCGCGCAACCCGCTGGCGCTGTGCAGGTGAGGAATGCTGTCCAATGCCAAGTCAAAGACGGCCTTCATCAGAGCCGCTTCTTCCTCTTTTGCAGGGCCAGGGCAAGTCGGCGCAGCGGGATGGCGGTAATGAAGGTCAGCAAGCGTCACTGCATGAGGGAGGTCAAGCCGAGCGGATCCCAGCCACGCCCGAGGGGCCAGCGCAAACTGCTCACTTCACACTCACCGGCTGTCCAATCTTTCTTGGCTTTCTTGGAGGGTGTATCGGGCGCAGAAGCCTGCTCGGAGCTGCGCTCGGCGTCACTCTTGCAAGCTTTGCGTTTGGTCGGAGTAGTTGGGTTGACCATGGTGCGCGTAGAGGGTGTACATGTGCTGCGTGCGCTACACTACAATCACGTAGATCGATGAAATGATGAGCGTGTTGGAGGAGATGGTGGCCATTCTGAAGTTGGTTCATTGCGAAGGTGAAATTCAAAGGGAAAAGGAAGCGATCGAGCGCTTGAACAGCTTGATGCGTGATTGCTACACAGCACCATCACTCGTCGCACAAATATGTGACTCACTCATTGTTGTGGATGAACGATGACGCATGGCAGGCTCGATCGTGACTCCCGATTCGTGATACGATTCGTGATTGATGCTGGGATCGCAGCCGATCAGTGCAAAAGGGGCCGTCGGTCTGAGTGCGCCATGCATGCAGTCGTAAGTTGTCGATTGTGGGTGCCGCCGTGCCGATGCCATTCATATATGTCGCTCGCAGAGGTAGCAAGCAGCACCACACGTATAATCACCATCACGATGGACGTCTCAATCAAACAGATATACAACAATCAAGACTCAGACTTGCATGGGATCGCCAAGCTGGCTCACTGCTCATCTCCCACCCTACCATGAGAACATGCGTCCACACTCACGACTGCTGAATTGAATGCGAATGATACACGGTGACTCACTCCTGACTGCCTGTGCCTACGTCCCGCTTCGCACTCGTGACTGCTGTGTCTGTCACGATCAGCAAATCATATGTGATACGGTGATGCACGCTGCATGCTCAGCCGATGGTGACGTCGACAGAGTGAAGGTGCTGGAAGGTGCTGCATACAGGCCTTGCTGTGTGGGTGCATGTTTCCGAGACATCGAGTCAAATTTCGATCGAGCACCCATGCAGGCTGACTTGCGCGTATATATATGTATGCTATATGCTCACAAGTTGCTGCTCGCGTGCCCTGCATGGATGGCATCCTTGCTGATCAAGTCAGAGTGCTGCTGCTGGGATTGATCGTGAATTGCTGTGATTCAAGAGATGTGATTGTGCGGATGGGCGCAATGAACTGCCTCGGCGCGCAAAGACGATCAATAAGGTGGATATATGATCCTGATGGCGTGGCGTGCTGGCTCGACATCAGGCGGGGCACAAGCGGATCGTGTCATTTGGCTGTGGCTCGATTTCTCTCTGAGCAGCTGCCACGGCCGGGCACTCACTGACTGCATCTTCTTCATCACATCTAGACGTGAGATGTGAGATGCAACCCAGACTCGTGACTCACGACTCTCTGAAACAATCGTCGCATGGTCGAGCAGGCAAGCTCCCATCCATGAGCGGCGCGCATATTGACAGCAAGCAAGACCAGCAATCATCGCGGTCCTGTCGCCGCGCGTGGTTGACTTTTGCGCTGCTTGCATGATACATGGAGATCCCCCTTATTCCTTGTCTGCACATAGGTTGAGCATGAAACGGATGTCTGTGCGTGTGCGATCAGCAGCTGGCGGAGAGTCACGAGTCACAAGTGTACGGAACTCGTGACCTTGACACTAACGCAGAAGGAGTCACGATCGAGTGGTAGAAAACTTTGAGAAAAGCTGGAGCTGAGAGCAGCCACCGCAAAAGAGCGAGCGCATGCAGCGATCGCGACGTTCAAATCTGCAAACATTTCCACTCACCACTCTCGACTCATGACTGTTGTGACTTGATTGTCATGCAGCACCCTGCGTACAGTGAGCATATATGATCCATGATCGGCCTTTCGCAGCTGTCGTGTCTTTACTTAGACCTTCTCTATCCTTCCGAGCCATAGATCTCGCCGTTACCAACCTCGTTGTACCTTTCCGATCGGCGCGCACGCGTGCTGCGTAAGCCACTCACAGACTGTACAGAGAGTCGCGAGGAGATACGCACAAATGGTGAGCATCCTCCCCGCGCTACAGCAGGCACTCTTATCCATCGCGAGCCTTGCACTCATCCACGTCAATTTCTTGTCCGGCATCAGCCGCCCAAGCGCAAAGCCATCAAAGCAGAACCAGCAGAAGCAGAAAAGCCTGGCGTCTCGGAGCAGATTTCGCCCGTCTCTTCGGCCGTATCCAGTCCTCCAGCATCTCCCAAACGAGGCAAGCGCATCAAAATGGAAGTTCGCAATCAGGACCATCCCATCTTGTCCTCTTCTGCTTCGACCGAGGTAGCCGGTAGCAAGAGTGGTCAAAGGAGAGCTTACGCTCATTGGACCGCCCGTGAGTCTGTCCCACTGTCCTACCTCGCCCCTCCTTGCACCTCCAGAGGCGTAGCAGAGCCCATCAAGTAGAGCAGCCAGACACGAGGAAGCTTCGCTGATCCATCATCTCGTCACCCTTGTCATTGACGCTTGCTGTGTCTGCGCGGAAGAGGAGGAAGCGGCAGTCTATCGTGCGCTGTGTGATTTAGGACTGAAGAATACCAGTCAGATCACGGCGGATGCGGGTTTGACAGGTGTGAGGGATGTGGGCATGGTTAGTGCAAGAGCGGCATGTTGGATGTACTTGCAAACCCCAATGATGGACTTTGAAAGCATGCCTAATGAGTCGAGGCTGACCCTCAACATGCCACCTTGCTTGCTTGCTTGGATGTTCGACAAATCAGGTACGCTACAAGATCAAAGCGCTCAGGAAGAAGTACGAAGGAGCTTGAGAGGCGCAATGGCTCTTCAAGCCCTTTGTGCTTCCCATCGCCTCGCGCTTTGCTTCACCTGTCTGTGAGGGCGGAGGAGGGGGGCAAAGGGCCGAACAAGGCTTCATGTGCTAGAACGCATCCACCTCAATTTGTCGCAAGTGTCCACCTCACG